TCAAGCTTACAGCCCTCTAGGTGTTTTGGATTTCAGCTCCCAGAAGTCCAGATGGGGAGTTAGAGGCCCAATCACCTGGAGGGCAACCCAGATAGTTGTGTTCCCTCTTTAAAACTACACATCCAAGAGCCTGAGGTCATTTGGTGGATTTAGCTTTTCAACGAAGTCTTCACGTGTGTTTCTCTTAAGGTTCGTGGTGGACAGCGGGTTTGTGAAGCAGTTGAACCACAACCCGAGAGTGGGCTTGGACATGCTGGAGGTTGTCCCTATTTCCAAGTAAGTTGGAGGTAATTCTAGCTTATTTCTTCCTGGGAATGGTGCTTTTTATGAGTTGTTTAGGGCCTCTTCAGTGCGTGCCATGGCTCGTTTTGCCCATTTGGTGCCTTTTAGAAGTTGTTTAGGGCCTCTTCAGTGTGTGCCAGGGTCCATTTTGCCCATTTGGTGCCTTTTAGAAGTTATTTAGGGCCTCTTCAGTGTGTGCCATGGCTCGTTTTGCCCATTTGGTGCCTTTTAGAAGTTGTTTAGGGCCTCTTCAGTGTGTGCCAGGGTCCATTTTGCCCATTTGGTGCCTTTTAGAAGTTATTTAGGGCCTCTTCAGTGTGTGCCAGGGTCCATTTTGCCCATTTGGTGCCTTTTAGAAGTTGTTTAGGGCCTCTTCAGTGTGTGCCAGGGTCCATTTTGCCCATTTGGTGCCTTTTAGAAGTTGTTCTGCAGGTCAGGGGACTGGAGGAGGGTGAGGAGCAGGTCCAGGCCTCCCTCCAGCCGGACGGCGTGGCAGAGCCCTCTGGCCACTTCCCGGCCCAGGGCGGGCATCAGCCAAGCCTCCTCCACCAGGGCCAGGATCTCAGCCAAGGCCAATTGCAGGTCCTCTGGCCCGGCGGCACGCTTGGCAGCAGAGACGGCCTGATGCAGCTCGGGCAGCGCCCGGTCCAGGGCGGCTTGGATGTCGGCGGCCAAGCCCGGGGAGGAGGCCTCCGGACAGGGCCCGAGACCCTCGGCCCACCAGCCTTCGGGACGGTTTTCGGGGCCAGACATGGCGAGGCGGCAGAGCTTGTAGGCCGAGAGCAGGAGAGTCAGCCCCATGGACTCAGAAGGATGGAGAGCTGCCGGGGATGCTGAGGGAGGACAAAGCGGGTACCACGGCCTGCCTCTCCTGCATCCCTGCCTTGGTGGTGATGTCACTCAACGATGGGACACGCCCCCTTGGAGGCGGGCCTGTCTCCACAGCAACTGCATCCTCCTCCTAGACAAAGAGTCCTGGGATGATTTGGGGAAGGATTTTTTGTCTATTTTGCAATTTTGGGGGACCTAAATTGCAAAATATATTGGAAGTCACCAGTGGCTGACCATTTTCTGTATTCTGTTCCTTTCGCTGCAATTTGAACCCAGGTCCCGCTATAGAGTCGCCCCGGCGGGACCCAGAGATCTCTAAAGCGGATCCGATAATCCGATCAGAAGGAATCGAGACACAGAGTGATCCCAAGCTTCCAGCGGCCGGAAGGACGGCGCCTCGGACTCCCTTCGGACAGGTCAGTTTGGATCCCCTTTAGGTGCCCCGCAAATGTTGCCTGCCTCACTTTGTGCTTTGACCTCTTGCCAAACAACACATGGATGATGGGAGTTGGAGTAGTAGGGTGGATGATGGGAGTTGGAGTAGTAGGGTGTATGATGGGAATTGGAGTAGTAGGATGTATGATGGTAGTTGGAGTGGTAGGGTGTATGATGGGAGTTGGAGTAGTAGGGTGTATGATGGGAGTTGGAGTAGTAGGGTGTATGATGGGAGTTGGAGTAGTAGGGTGTATAATGGGAGTTGGAGTAGTAGTGTGGATGATGGGAGTTGGAGTGGTAGGGTGTATGATGGGAGTTGGAGTAGTAGGGTGTATGATGGGAGTTGGAGTGGTAGGGTGTATGATGGGAGTTGGAGTGGTAGGGCTTCCACGAGGGATTGGGCTCATTGATTACTCCTGCCGTATTTCTACTATTTTGTTGTTTGTTTATTTATTACGGCCGAAATAAAAGAAAAATACCAAAAAGAGCCGCGTTTCGAATCCAAATCAACAGATGAAGCGGAGATTTTCCCAGACTGAGCCTTTAATTGGATTAGAGGCCAGGCCTTGGGCTAATTGGGGACTAATCAGGACTAAATCCCCGCCTTCGTGTTCCCTTTGCTGACGCTCGCTTGGAAAAGTAGTAGTTGGTGCCGAATAAAAGCAGTTTGATGGTTGTAGATGATGGGATTTGTAGTTGAAAGACAGAGTGGATGACTGGGCTTGTAGTCCCAAAGCTTAGTGGATGGTGGGGTTTGTAGTCCAAAAGACACAGTGGATGGTGGGGTCTGCAGTTCAAAGGCACAGTGGATAGTGGGAGTTGTAGTCCCAAGATACAGTGGGTGGTGGGATGTGTAGTTCAAAAGACACAGTGGATTGCGGGCATTGTATTCCAAAGACATGTTGGGATTTGTAGTTCATAGACACAGTGGGTTGTAGGATTTGTAGTCCAAAGTAGATTGTGGAACTTGTAGTCCAAAATACGCAGTGGATTGTGGGAGTCGTAGTCCAAAGACATTTGGGATTTGTAGTGCAAAGACAAAGTAGATTGTTGGATGTGTAGTCCAAAAGACACAGTGGATTGTGGGAGTTGTATTCCAAAGCCATTTTGAGATTTGTAGTGCAAAGACATTTGGGATTTGTAGTCCAAAAGCAAAGTAGATTGTGGGATTTGTAGTACAAAGTAGATTGTGGGATTTGTGGTCCAAAGTAGATTGTGGGATTTGTAGTCCAAAAGACACAGTGGATTGTGGGAGTTGTAGTCCAAAGACATTTGGGATTTGTAGTCCAAAGACAAAGTAGATTGTTGGATGTGTAGTCCAAAAGACACAGTGGATTGTGAGAGTTGTATTCCAAAGACAATTTGAGATTTGTAGTACAAAGACACTGGATTGTGGGATTTGCAGTCCAAAGAAACAGTGGGTCTTGGGATTTGTAGTACAAAGACAGTGGATTGTGGGATTTTTAGTCCAAGAACATTTTGGGATTTGTAGTACAAAGATACAGTGGATTTTGGGTTTTGTAGTTGAAAGACATTTTGGGTTTTGTAGTCCAAAAACAAAGTGGATGATGGGGTCTGTCATCCAAAAACATGATGGGGTTTGTAGAATAAAGACACAGTGGATGGTGGGATTTGTAGTTCAAAGACAGAGTGGGTGGTGGTGTTAGTAATCTAAAGACCCAATGGATGGTGGGATTTGAAGTCCAAAGAAACCGTGGATGTTGAGATTGGTAGTCCAAATAAATTGTGATTTATGGGAGATCCTTTGGATAGATAGCAAATGAATTGTGAGCCAGGTTTGTGATGCAGCAGCAGAACAGTCGAAGGCGATCCCAGGTCCCAAACTAGAAGGAAAGAGGGGAAAGCAAGATGTTTGAAAGGAAAATTGGGATTCCTCTTGAGCGTGGGCTGCCAAATCCTGCACAACCTGCCCTTGTGACCTTTCCCCCCAGAAAAGGGAGGCCATATTAATGAATAACTCGATCCCATTGATCCGGGGGCAAATTCCATTCCGGGTTTGCCCCAAAATTGCTGTTTCCCCCTCAGCCCTAAGGTGAAGGTGGGTTTCTGGGAATGCAGCCCCCCCCCCCCCCTGTTTGCTTTCCTTCCTCCCCAAAGAAAGCTGGCCTGAAACAAACTCATCCCGGGTTCAAATCCTGGCCCTTCCTTTTAGGAAAGAAGCAGGTCAGTCGGTTCCAATAGGTTGAACATTCAGAGGAAAGGCTGGGAGGAGAAGAGAGTCAAGAGACGGCCCATTCCTACATACAAGAGCTCTCTTTCTTCCCTTCTGTCCTTCTTTCCTTCATTCCTTACTTCTCTGCCTTTCTTTTTCCTTTCTTTCTTTCCTTTCATCCTTCTTTCCCCTTTTGATTTTCCTGATTCCTTCCTTTCCTTCCACCCTTCCTTCATTTTTTCGTTTTCATTTTTCCTTCTTTCCTTCCTTCCTTTCTTTCGTTCCATTCTTCCTCCTCCTTTTTCATTTTCATACTTCTTTCCTTCCTCTTCTTTCCTTCCACCCTTCCTCCCTATTTTGCTTTCATTCTTCCTTCCTTCCTTGCTTGCTTGCTTGCTTGCTTCTTTCTTTCCTATCTTCCTTCCTTCCTTTCCTTCCAGTCTTCCTCCTCCTTTTTCTTTTCCTTCCTTCCTCTTCTTTCCTTCCTTCCCTTCCATCCTTCCTCCCTTTTTTATTTTCATTTTTCTTTCTTTCCTTTCCTTTCCTTCTATTCTTCCTCCTCCTCCTTCATTTTCATTTTTCCTTTCCCTGTCTACCTTTCCTTCCCTTCCCTTCCATCCTTCCTCTCTTTTTTGTTTTCATTTTTTTCCTTCCTTCCTTCTTCCCTTTTCCTCCTTCCTTCTCTTTTCCTTCATTCTTCCTTTCCTTTCCTTCCATCCTTCCTCTCTCTTTTGTTTTCATTTTTTTCCATCCTTCCTCCTCCTTTTTCATTTTCATTCTTCCTTTCCTTTCCTTTCCATTCCCTTCCTTTCCTTCCATTCTTCCTCTCTCTTTTGTTTTCCTTCCTTCCTTCCTTCCTTCCTTCCTTCCTTCCTTCCTTCCCTTCCCTCCCTCCCTCCCTCCCTCCCTCCCTCCCTCCTTCCCTTCCTTCCTTCCTTCCTTCCTTCCTTCCTTCCTTCCTTTCGTGTTTTCATTTTTACTTCTTTCTTTACTTCTTTCTTTTCCTTCCTTCCGTTCTCCTACTTTTTCATTTATCTCCTTCCTTCCTTCTTCCTTACTTTCTGTCTATCTAAATATATATCTCTCTTTCTCTCTCTCTTTCTGGCGCCTGCTGCCCTTCTAATCCGAGCCTGCCCCCAAATCCCTTTCATCCGAAGGACATCAACAGACAATGGTCAGCCTTGGAGGACTGGCCTTGGGACCTACAGCCTTGAGGATCCCAATCAATCAATCACTCAATCAATCAATCAATCAATCAATCAATATGTGATTAATGTGTATTTTACAGAAATGTTTTGATCTGTCATTTTTATGAACCGAATTTGAATGTGTGCTTATAGGATCCAAACACCCCAAACTGATAGAACACCACTCCCACCGCCTTTCAGATTAGACCTGGCAGCAGAGGGACCCCCTCGTTGCCCCCAATTGCAGTTTTAGGACGGGATCGAAGTCCAGTTTACCAATCCGATAAGGGCTTGGCACTGAAAGGGCCGGAGGGGCGGGACCCACCCGGGACCCACCCCACCCGGGACCCACCCCACCCCATTGACCTGCCTGCCATCTCTTTAGGCAAGGCCAGACGGAGCTGGACAGTCGCCCGCCATGAGGGTCCTGGGCCTGGCGCTGACCCTCGGCTGCATCCTAGGGGCCTTTGGGGCAGAAGGTGAGTCCTATTATTGGGGGTGGGGGGGAGTCTCTACTAGGGATGTGCGACCCATTTAAAAATGGTTCAAAAGTTTTAAAAAAACTGGGGGGTGCTGGACTTTTGTTTCTAAAGTGTTCTTAAAGTGTTTCTAAAGTGTTTCTAAAGCTGGCATGGGCCCTTTTTGCCCATTTGGTGCCATTTAGGAGTTCTTTAGTGACTCTTTAGTGTGTGCCAGGACCCGTTTTGCCCATTTGGTGCCTTTTAGAAGTTATTTAGGGCCCCTTAATGTGTGCCAGGGCCCATTTTGCCCATTTAGTGCCTTTTAGAAGTTATTTAGGGCCTCTTTAGTGTGTGCCAGGGCCCATTTTGCCCATGTGGTGCCTTTTAGGAGTTGTTTGGGGCATCTTTAGTGTGTGTGCCAGGGGCCGTTTTGCCCATTTGGTGCCTTTTAGAAGCTGTTTAGGGCCTCTTTAGTGTGTGCCAGGGCCCGTTTTGCCCATTTGGTGCCATTTAGGAGTTGTTTAGGTCCTCCTTAGTGTGTGCCAGGGCCCGCTTTGCCCATTTGGTGCCTTTTAGAAGCTGTTTAGGGCCTCTTTAGTGTGTGCCAGGGCCCGCTTTGCCCATTTGGTGCCATTTAGGAGTTGTTTAGGGCCTCTTTCGTGTGTGCTAGGGCCCGTTTTGCCCATTTGGTACCTTTTGTAAGTTGTTTAGTGTTTGCCAGGGCCTGTTTTGCCTATTTAGTGCCTTTTAGAGCTTGTTTAGGGCCTCTTTAGTGTGTGCCAGGGGCCGTTTTGCCCATTTGGTGCCTTTTAGAAGTTGTTTAGACCCTTTTCATTATGTACCAGGGCCCATTTTGCCCATTTGGTGCCTTTTAAGGTCATCATTCCACCTTCTTCCTGTCATTCTCCCACCTCATTCCCTTCTTGATGCTTTTTTTCCCCCTTTCCTCCTTTGGTGGGAAAAATAATACACTTTACTTTGTAATATGGAGGTGCAGTTTTCCACAATGTCCACATGATGGCAGCACAGAGGTGTCCTCCACAGCTCAAGTATGCACTTTCCTACCTGGCCACTTGATGGCAGCAAAGGATTGCAGAGCAGGATCTCAGGGCAAGGGCAAATATTCCTGTGTCCACAAGAGGGCGGCAAAGGGAATGGCCCTTAAGGCAGTGGTTCCCAACCTTTCTAGTGCCGTGACCCCTAAACACAGTTCCTCATGTTGTGGTGACCCCCGAACATAAAATTATTTGTGTTGCTATTTTATAACTGTAATTTTGCTACTGCTATGAATTGTCACATAAATATCCGATATGCAGGATGTCATAAATTGAACATAATTAATGCATAGCGATTAATCACAAAAACAATACGTTTGGGAGAGTGTGGACAACAGACGATGGTATCTGCAGTACCTTCGACCAATTCAGCTCTGACTTCCACAGCCGAGACCCCCACGCATGACAGAGCAGGACCACACTTGGCACACAAAACCCCCATGATCAACAGGAAATACTGGAGCAGTTTGGGAGGAAGTGAAAGTGACTTAGGGGAGATGTAGTTCACCTATAACTGGAGAGTATTCTGAACCCAAACAACCCTGGATCTGAACCCGTGCCCTTGGGGCGGGGCCAACGAAGGTGGTCTCGCGACCCCTCCGAAATGGCCAAGCGACCCCCCTGGGGGTCGTGACCCCCAGGTTGAGAACTGCTGCCTTAAGGCTTCACCTTCCATATACTTGACATCACTCAGCCATTGCCTTTTAAAATAATAATAATAATAATAATAATAATAATAATAATAATAATAATAGTCATGCAACCTTCCTGCATGACCCACTGCCAGGACCAGTCTCAGCCAGGTGAAGAAGATGTCAAAGATAGACACCCTCCTGTTCGGACTTTGGTTTTGGGTGACCCATCGTTATTATCCTCTTGGCACAAAAAAAGTCATTTTCCGTCTCCCTTTCTTCGTTCACCTTCGGAACCCCCTGGCTCGTGGTTTTGCATGAGTCGCGCCGAAGGACCCTAAAAGGTACCTGTTGTACTAAATACTTTTTTTGTGTGTGCCTGCAATCGGGCAGAGTCTTGCGAGGGCCGCTGCGACAAGGGCTTCGATGAGATGCGGAAGTGCCAATGCGACGAACTCTGCGCCTACTACCAGAGCTGCTGCGATGACTATTTCACCACCTGCAGGTCCAAAGGTACGTCTGTGGCGGGGTTTATAGTTCTACAGGGGTCAATCTGGGATATATAGTTCTTCTAAGGGAGGTCCTTGTTCTGTCTTTTCAGAGACCCGGGGGGACGTCTTCCTGCAGCCGGAGGATGATTATTTGGACTATGAGGACCCCCCTAACGTCACCGCGTCCTTGACCCCTACCAGCCCTACAACTTATGGCACTTCAGGGGATGTCTTTGAATACCATTGGACGGAGACCCCCGAATTGGGGACCTTTGCGGGGACCACAAAAACCCCCACAGAGACCCCCACCATTGCGGCAACTGAGGAAGAGGAATATCTCTGCAGCCACAAGCCCTTCGACGCCTTCACCAACCTCAAGAACGGGTCCATCTTCGCCTTCCGGGGTACGGCTTTCATCTCGGGGGGGGGGGGGGCTGTTGTAGGTTTAAAGCCCCCGTTACGATTAGGGAGCCCTGCATTGGTATTGGGGGTCCCTAAAATGTCCTTGGGGGTCTCTTTTCAGATTAGGGAGCCCTGCATTGGGATCGGACATCTCTAAAATGACCTGGGGGGGGGGGTCCTCTTCCGTATTGCTTGATATTGGTGGTCCCAGTCGKGAAATTATGGGTTCTCACATTGTAGATCGAGGTCCTTGTATTGGCATTGCCCCCACATTGGTATTAAGGGGGGGGGGCTTTTCCACTTAAATGCCGTTTATTAACTCCGGAGAGCCCTCTATTGTCATTGAGGAAACCTAAGTTGGTATTGGGGGGGGGGGTCTCCATTGTGGCATTTGGGTTTCAACGTTTCAATTGTAATTCTACTAATTGTGTATGGAGAGAAAAAGGGGGATATAAATAAACATAATGATAATAATAACAATAATAAGAATTATTGTTGTTGTTGTTGGATCATTGTTGCCACATTGTTGGATCATCAAATGTCTAGATGTCATCGGAATTTGTGAAAAGATTCGAAAGTTCAATCAAAATGCAACGAAACATTGTTGGATCATCAAACGTCTAGATGTCTTCGGGGTTTGTGAAAATATTCGAAAGTTCAATGAAAATGCAACGAAACATTGTTGCCACATTGTTGGATCATCAAATGTCTAGATGTCATCGGGGTTTGTGAAAATAATAATAATAATAGTGTTCGACTTGTGATTTTGTGATATGAAATCCAGCATATGGATCTCATTTGCTGTGACATACTGTGTTTTTGTGTCAGTAAAATAATAATAATAATAATAATAATAATAATAGTAGGGGTCCCTACGTTGGCATGGCGGGTCCTATGTTTGTATAGATGGGCCTTTTGGTACCCCTGTGTCCTGCCTTGCAAGGCCGTCGTGACACCCTTTTTTCCTTTGCAGGGAAATATTTCTATGAACTAGATGAGAAGAGCGCCGTGCCGGGATACCCCAAGCTCATCCGGGACGTTTGGGGCATCGAGGGGCCACTTGACGCCGCCTTCACCCGCATCAACTGCGAGGGCAAGACCTACCTTTTCAAGGTCAGGAACGAGGGTATTTTGGGAACGATGGGAACTGCAGTCCCGAACAAGCAATGCACATATTTCCCTTTCTTCCTCTCCTCCAGGGAAACCAATACTGGCGCTTTGCGGACGGCCTTTTGGAGCCTGATTTCCCGCGAAATATTTCCGACGGGTTTAAAGGGATCCCGGACGATTTGGACGCCGCTTTTGCTCTCCCGGCGCAGAATTACTTCTCCAGCGAAAGAGTCTATTTCTTCAAAGGTAACTCATTCAGGAAAGGGACCCTCAAGGTCATCTAGCCTAACCCACATTTGTTGCAGGAAAACGTGGCTTAAACCACGCGTGGGCAAACTTGGACCCTCCATGTTGGGGTTCAGCCTGTGTGTGAACCTGAACCTGATTCTCTGATTGAACCTGATTCTCTGATTGTATTTCCTGGTGCCAATGTAGATTTCAATGTTAATTCTGAGGCCAATGTAGATGATGACGGTTTGGGTAGTGAAAATCCTACAGCCTTGGAAAGTGAAAGTCAAAGTTCCCATGAGAACATTCATTCAGAGCCAAGCAGAGAAGTTTCACTCCCTTTTCTTCCCAGCCTTAGCTCTCCAGAGAATCTGATGCCTGGTAATGAGGATAGGAGGGGACAGATTTAGCAGAGCAGGGGAGAAGCACAAAGTTTACAGAGGTCAGCTAGATTGAGAGAAATGCAAACAAAGACTTCAGGCGTGTCACGTAATAGATTTCTCTGCCTTAAGTACGCCTGGCCTGAATACAGCTTCAGACCAGGCATCGTTCCAGATTCATGTGCTCGCCTTTGCAGGTCTCCTGATTCAAGTGGCCTTGTTCCTCGGGGCTTTTCTAGTTGTTCCAAGTACGGTTAGTGGATTGCTAACAGGTTCCAGGATTCAGCAGTTTCGCTGTAGGTTTCATGGTCTCGCTTATGGACATTTCTTGTTGCTGGTTTTTACTGTGGCTTTTTACCTTTGCATTTTTCCTCCATTTTGTATTTACCTTTCATCAATAAAAAAGGATTGTGTGGTGGATTGTTGTCAAGAGGGTCCAGTTTCCTGCTCTGGGTTGCAACACTCCAGGGGTTTTGGACTTCCAACTCCCCAATTCCGACGCCCTATTTATCCTCATAGAGTCTGAAGGGACCCTTGAAGGCCAGCTAGACTGACCCCTTCTCTCGTAGGGCGCCATTACTGGTCCTACGACTTTGCCCACCAGCCCAGCCGGCAGGAGTGCGAGGAGACGTCCCCTTCGGTGGTCTTTGGCCATTACGCCCAGATGAAGGACCGTGACTTTGAGGACATCTTCCAGATCCTCTTCGGCGGAGTCCGGCGGAGTGAGTCTCTGATTGGGCTGCTCAATGGAAATTGCTATAATAATAATAATAATAATAATAATAATAAATATCATAATAAACATAATAACAGTAAGGCTTATCTTATATTATAATAATAATAATAATAATAATAATAATAATAATAAGATAAGCCTTACTGTTATTATGTTTATTATTATATTTATTATTATTATTATTATCATTATTATGCTTATTTAAATCCTGATTTTTTCTCTCTCCCCAAAGGAGACCCAAAAGCATTTCAATACCATTGGAAATCTACAAATATCAAAACAGAATTAATTATTAATGGTATTAAAAAATTCTGCTATAATAAAAAAAGATGATTATAATGATGACGACGATGAAAAGTTGCATTTTACAAAATTGCGTCTCCCATCATCCCCTGTTTTGTCCTATTCTTTTCCAACCAATGTTATATCCCTTTGGATTGCACCTCCCATCATCCCTGGTCATCCTTCCATTTGCATCGTGTCTCCCATCATCCCTGCTTTTTATTCCATTTGAATAGCACCTCCCATCATCCCTGATTTTACTTCCATTAGGATTACACATTCATTCATTCCTAGTTTATCTTCCCTTTGGATTGAATCTCCCATCATCCCTGATTTTTCCATTTGGATCACACTCCCCATCATCCCTGATTTTCCTTCCTTTTGGACATCACCTTTACATCATGCATTATTTTCCTTTGGATTGTGTCTCCCATCATCCCTGATCTTTATTTCCTTTGCATTGCATGTCCCATCATCCCTGATTTTTCTTCCCTTTGGATTGCGTCTACCCTGATTTCCCCCCCTTTGTATTGCATGTCCCATCATCCCTGATTTTTCCTTTCTGGGCAATGCTACATCTCTTTGTACCACCCCTCCCATCATCCCCTGTTTTTTCTTCCCTTTGGATTGTGCCTCTCATCACCCCTGGTTTTCCTTTCTGGGCAATGCTATTTCCCTTTGGATGGCAACTCCCATCATTCATTTGGATTGCGACTCCCATCACCCCCTTTCCTTCTCTTGCAGGTGGGACCAGCCGCCCGAAGTCCATTTTCCGCGACTGGCGGGGGATCCCGGGGCGCCTGGACGCAGCCATGCTGGGCCGGCTGTACGTGGCCCCAAAGGTGAATCCTGCCCCCCGGCGCCTCCATCGGAAGCCTCCCCGCCGCCACCGCAAGAAGTACCGCCGCCGCCAGGGCTGGGGACGATGGGACCCGCTGTGGGACTGGCCGCAGGAGAGCTCCGAATCGGTGGAGATAGACTGGTTCCTTGGTGATACCTCTCCCTGCCAGCCATTGCAGAGCGTCTACTTCTTCGTGGAAGGTGAGCACTTTCCCATTAGGGGACGATGGGTCTTCCAGTGTCTCAAAGGGATCACCCCCCCCCCACACACACACAATTTAAGGCTGTGAAGTCGACCTACGTTATCATTGGCATATTGGAGTTCTATAACAGATGTTGTAGGTCTTCTTCTGAATGCGCACAGACTACACTATCATTGGCATATTGGAGTTGTATAACAGATGTTGTAGGTCTTCTGAATGCGCACAGACTATGTTATCATTGACATATTGGAGTTCTAGAACAGATGTTGTAGGTCTTTTTCTGAATGCGCATAGACTACATTATCATTGACATATTGGAGTTCTATAACAGATGTTGTAGGTCTTCTGAATGCGCATAGACTACGCTATCATTGACATATTGGAGTTCTATAACAGATGTTGTAGGTCTTCTGAATGCGCACAGACTACACTATCATTGACATATTGGAGTTCTATAACAGATGTAGGTCTTCTTCTGAATGCACACAGACTACGCTATCATTGACATATTGGAGTTGTATAACAGATGTTGTAGGTCTTTTTCTGAATACGCACAGACTATGTTATCATTGACATATTGGAGTTCTATAACAGATGTAGGTCTTCTTCGGAATGCACACAGACTATGTTATCATTGACATATTGGAGTTCTATAACAGATGTAGGTTTTCTGAATGCGCACAGACTACGTTATCATTGGCATATTGGAGTTCTATTACAGATGTTATTGTGACCTTGCTTGAGTGTCTCCAATGAGGGAGACTCTGTGACCTGGATGCCGTATTTATGATCATGGGAGTCAGCAGGGACCCTAAAGGTCATCCAGACTGACCCCCATTCATTGCAGGAACCCATTCCTCAGGGCAATCCTGTGTGTTAGACTTCTGGCCTTGAATATCTCTGAAGAATAAAAGGGTCAGATATATCTAACTGAGTCGCCGTGAGGCTGAGAAAGGCGGACTATAAATGTCGTAAACAATATGCCAATGATAATGTAGTCTGTGCGCATTCAGAGGAAGACCTACAACATCTGTTATAGAACTCCAATATGCCAATGATAACGTAGTCTGTGCGCATTCAGAATAAGACCTACAACATCTGTTATAGAACTCTAATATGCCAATGATAATGTAGTCTGTGCACATTCAGAAGACACACATCTGTTATAGAACTCAGATATCCCAATGATAACGTAGTTTATACGCATTCAGAAGACCTATATCTGTTATAGAATTCCAATATGTCAATGATAACGTAGTCTGTGCGCATTCAGAAGAAGACCTACAACATCTGTTGCAGAACTCCAATATGCCAATGATAACATAGTCTGTGCGCATTCAGAAGACCTATATCTGTTATAGAACTCCAATATGTCAATGATAATGTAGCCTGTGTGCATTCAGAAGACCTAAAACATGTTATAGAACTCCAATATGTCAATGATAACATAGTCTGTGCGCATTCAGAGGAAGACCTAAAACATGTTATAGAACTCCAATATGCCGATGATAATAAATAAATAACCTAAATAACTATATTTCTTTCCATAGATAAGTATTACCGTCTCAACCTCCGGACCCGACGGGTGGATCGGGTCTATCCAAAATACCCGCGGCCCATTGCCAAGTATTGGCTGGGATGCCCTTCCGAAGAAGAGGATCTGGCTTAAAGTTCGGACTGGAAACCGGAGCGGACGCGAGCGCGCTCCAATAAAGCGTGTTTTCCCCCCCTTTCTGCGTCTTCTGCTTATTCATGGATTCAAAGTGATAATAATAATAATAATAATAATAATAATAATAATATCTTGATAATCCTTGTTTTTGGAAATTTTAATGATTGCGTGGATTGTTTACTTCGTTAAAATGTTGCCCCGAAACGCGGCGACGATGACATTATCCAATAAGTATTATCTCGCAATATTAAATTAATATGATTCAAATTATTATTCGAATGAGCACGAATAAGATTATGGTTTTTCATGCAGAAGTGGGCGGGGCTTCGAGGTGGGCGGAGCCTCCCCTGGGCTTTAAAATAAATTGAAAAATCCCCCCCCTCGAGTGGCTTTTCCCACTCCACAGAGATGGACGCGGAGCGGGTGGGAGACCTCTTCCCTTCCAGGCTTCCAGCCGAGGCCCCTGAAGGTAAGCCTGGTGGGATTTTAATGGGAAGGACTACATAGCCCATCATTTTTTATCCCCACCGAAAGAATGACAAGTTGGAGATAGTGGGCTTGGTCTCCCCCCCAATTAACCTTTATCTCCTTTAGTGGATAATGGGCTTTGTTATCCTCCAAATATCCCCGCCTAGGGCGAGTGTCAGGTTGGGGATACTGGGCTTTGTTATCCCCCAAATAACATTTATTTCCCCCCATAGAAAGAATTACAAGTCAGGGATGCTGGGCTTTGTTATCCCCAAATAATATTTCATTTCTTCCCCAATGGAGGGAATGTCAGGTTGGGGATGCTGGACTTCATTATCCTCCAAATATCAAGTTGGGGATTCTGGGCTTTGTTATCCTCCAGATATCCCCTCCCCATAGAGGGAGTGTTAGGTTGGGGATACTGGGCTTTGTAACTCCCCACATAACCTTTATTTTTCCCCCATAGAAAGAATTACAGGTTGGAGATGCTGGGCTTTGTTATTCCCCCCATAGAAGTTGGGGATGCTGGGTTTTGTTGTCCACCAAATAACATTTACTTCCCTGCCCTCAGTAGAGAAAGTGTCAGGATGGGGATGCTGGGCTTTATTATCCTCCACAAAGCATATTTGAGGAGAGGGGATGCTGGGCTTTGTTATCTTCCAACTATCCCCCCATAGAGGAAATGTCAGGTTGGGGAGACTGGGATTTGTTATCCCCAAATAATATTTAATTCCCCCCCCCAATAGAGGAAGTGTCAGGTTGGGGATGCTGGGCTTTGTTATCCTCCAAATATCCCCCCATAGAGGGAGTGTCAGGTTGGGGATACTGGGCTTTGCTATCCCCCACATAACATTTATTTCCCCCCCATAGAAAGAATTGCAGGTTGGAGATGCTGGGCTTTGTTATCCCCAAATAATATTTCATTTCCCTTCCAATAGAGGTTGGGCATGCTGGGCTTTGTTATCCCCCAAATAACATTTGCTTCCTCACCCATAGAGGGAGTGTCACAATGGGGATGCTGGGCTTTGTTATCCCCAAAAAGTATATTTGAGGGGAGGGGATGCTGGGCGTTGTTATCCCCAAATAATATTTCATTCCCCCCCCCCCCCCCATAGAGGGAATTTCAGGTTAGGGGTGCTGGGCTTTGTTATTCTCCAAATATCCTTCCTCCCCCCATAGAGGGAGTGTC